TCACTGTATCGTATCAATTACCAATATATGATGAGGGATAAGGTTAGGCTAGAGAAAGAACAATATATTTAATATGAATAGAAGATATACAGTAACACTGAAATGGACCACGCCTGCATGGACGAGCCATGCCACTCGATCAACTCCAGTCCATTCAATTCATTCTTCGCGCCTTCTCCATCGTTAGGTATTTATCCGCGTTAAATATTGAATATCTATTTTCTGAGTAGTCTCGTGTTCACAACTTTGTGGATTGTGTGGCTATTGTCCAATGCCACTACACTACTCTCCCACCAGAATCAACGTGATGTTGGTTCGATACCAAATTGGATGGGATCGTCGCGCGCCGGAGGTTACCAAAGATAATAAGGATCCTCCGGGTATTGATAAGCTGAAAGATAAATCAAAAAGAAGGCGGCAGCATCTGGTAGGGAAATACATGTAATAATCTTAAAATATCTGCTTTCATGATTAACACGCTTAAAATGGAAATATGGTTGAAGATTATTTGAACTATAAAAAATGGGATTACAATAATAATAATAAAACGACGCGTGTTAATAACTTAACTTATAGGCAGTAATTATTTTGTGTTTAGAAATATTAAAATAATGAATATTGTAGAAATGTTAAAATTGGTATTAGTTTTGGTTTAAATTATGAAATCAAATAACGATTATGCCGGTAAGTTGTCTATAAGAGTTGAATTCCAATTGCATCTATATTAGTAGGCTAACTGAAGGAACAAAAGTATACCGTGGAGAAGAATTCCAACTAGTGTTCCAGTTAGTTTGATACGGTTTATTTAGTTACAGGGAGATTTTCTCAACCTCATTTTTACTTGACCGTGATAGAATTTAGTAATACTACTAATACACATGAATGGTTATCAAAATAAAATTTAAATACATGAGTGATAATTATATGGATTTTGGATAGATAGCTAGGAATAAAATCATTGAACATGAGTGTGTTCGTAAGAGACATGCTCTAGACTCAATGTTCTGATCTGCAATAGACTATTTATTTATATTTATACTTGCCGGCTGCTTGGGCATACAAGTTAGTTGCAAGTATGCAGTTTATTATAAGGCGGAATACGATTTAATTGAGATATAGTGGTTATAAGTTATTAAAATCAGTTAAGCCTATGGGTCATATTACGAAGTGATGTGGTGCTGCAAGATGTATTTAGCTAAATAAGTTTTTACAAGATGATTAATAGTGAGTGATGCTCATGTGATTATCAGGGAGTACATAAGTTGTAACCAGGGGGAGTACACTCCCAACTCATGTCTATGATAATGGCTTGAACCTTAGTCAGTGTTGGGGTAAATTCGACATTGATGTTTTCAGTTTGCAGGAGATTTGCTCGACTGCTTATACTGATTATTTGCATGCATGATTGTGTCGTTAAACCATCAATTAGACTGACAAGGTTTTGAGATATTTACTGAATGAGCAACTGATAAACATACTGTAATCATCCGTCGTGAATGAAGATAAAAGAAAAACAACACTAGTGATAATTATAAGTCAATTTGCTGACCGATTTTGTTAATAGTCTCATTAATTTTATCAATCATATTACGTGATTGTCATGACAATGCTTTATGACGATATCCTGAAACTATTAAATTTAACTAGTTATAGTGTTGATTAAGGATTAGTCAGTGGAAAAATAGGTATTGTTGCTTTAGGTGATTCAAAATCATCAGAAATTTACAACGTTAAAGAATCCGAGACGCCTAATTTAATTATAAATTTCAATTCAGAAGCATTCGTTTAGTGTTAATTCTAGTAGGCTACAGAGTTTTGATTTTAAACGTTTGTTTAGCCAACAGCTACTTGGGGATTTAGTTATTTTACTAGTGCAGTTGATAGTACCTAAATTTTTAATCTTATTATCTAAACTATGTTCGCATTTTAGGCTGCTAATATGATAAACCAATCCATAAACCCAAATAAGATTAGCCACAACGACTATGATGGGTTTATTGATAAATGTTATACGCGATTCAGATGATTTCTAAATTCAAAAGATATGGATATAGTGTAATGTATGTACGGGCCATGTTAACATGCAGGTTGTTGACGTATATAAAAATTTAAAAATAATGAACATGACCAGGAAAAGTAATTTTAAAGTCAAGACTGCTTATGAAACTTGAGGCAGGAATGTAACGCGTTATAAACATTCCATGAGAAGTTACGACATTTAGCCTAGGGACACTTACAAATATGTGGCAAAAGCAACTGAAAAACATATACATGTTAAGTACAAAAAAATCATCCAGTAAAATAGTTGAACTCGCCTGGATTATTTTTGAAAATTAGATTATTCAGTGAACGACATATATAACGCCATTCGTGAGTAGTAATGATCCAAAAGCATCCAGAATAAAACATGCAGTATGGCAATTAATTCCAGGGTGCTTGATGCTGTTGAGGTCTTTGGGATTCGCTCTGATCAGAACAACTGAATGAATCCAGATAATTGTATGGTTGTCATTGAACGAACCATCTAAAAATGATTGCAGAAAACTTATAGCTGAAACTCACCGTATGTTTTTGGAGTAGTCATCCTCGTTGTTTGGCAATGGAACTCGAGAATATGAAATTAGGCAGGCAGTGGTCGGAAGAAAAGATATTACAGGATAGTGTATAGTTTAAAACAGGATGAGGTAATAAGATAAGGAACACTGAATATTAGATCCAGATAACTATTCAATCCTTGATCGCATTGTTAGTCAATGTATATTTACGCAATTTACAGGTCATATTTGCTAGAGCTTGATGTTTAAACAAGACTATGTCGCTGAAGCATGTAAATGCTATTACAGCTTGTTAACAAATCATCAAAGCTAATTAGTTAATATAGACGACCAGTTTTTATTATCGATTGAGCTAGCTAGTCATGAGGACTAATCAATATAACATTACGATAATGCATGTGAGCATTAATCAGAGGACTATTGGAATACAGGGTTAACATAAATATAAAATCGATCGAGAAAGTTTAAGTGGATATAAGGATTAATAATAATAGGTTGCGTTTCTTTAGTTGGGCTCACCAATGTAGAATTATGATCTACTATGATATTAGTACTGCTCTAATAATAGACCTAATCCCAAAATTGTAGATTCGTCATGATATAACTGCCTAATCTATAAGATCTTACGTGGAAGTCACACCATCGACTACACCAACTCACTGTATCGTATCAATTACCAATATATGATGAGGGATAAGGTTAGGCTAGAGAAAGAACAATATATTTAATATGAATAGAAGATATACAGTAACACTGAGATGGACCACGCCTGCATGGACGAGCCATGCCACTCGATCAACTCCAGTCCATTCAATTCATTATTCGCGCCTTCTCCATTGTTAGGTATTTATCCGCGTTAAATATTGAATATCTATTTTCTGAGTAGTCTCGTGTTCACAACTTTGTGGATTGTGTGGCTATTGTCCAATGCCACTACAAACTAACTAATTCACACGTCCCACTCTCATGGTATACACTGTCGATAATGACAAATGGAATAGCATTCCTAATGAATAAAGCTACTACCCCTCCTTTACGCCTCTGGATTCTGTCAGCTTTTACTAACGTAAAACCCTCGAAATCAAGTTCTATACTATCTGTAGGCTGCGTCAGACAAGTTTCTATGACTGCGATTATATCTGGCTTTGTGGGGTCAATATGTACACCTAGTTGCTACCGCTAATTGAGCAAGCTTCGGGCATTATCGTAACAGATCCGAAGCCTATTTAAATGGCTTCGTGCTGCATTTACCATTGAAATGGCCTTGGTTAGTAAGCTGCTCTCGTCCGAACAGCATTGCTGGCAAAGCCATGTGCAACCGTTTGAAAGCCGCAGGCGTCAAATCCGTGCAAAATCCGTGGTACCAACCTTTGCACTCATCGCACTCAACGGGATAACGACAGCTCGAACGTTGGCAATTTTTTTTTCACTGTCCAGTCATTAAACAGGCGTCTTTTTAAAAAAAGAACTAGATGCAGTAACGCTCAGAGACAAAAATGATCTATGACCAAAATAAGGGAGAAAACTGTAGATTGTTAGAATTGTAGCGTGGTGTCGAGTCGCGGTTGACTATGAACACCGCTACGAAGAAACACGTGCCAAAAAAATCAGAAGGCATAGGTCGAACGTAACCAAAGAAACCCATAAAATCTCCGAGAAGCCAAATACTAGAAGGCAATTAGTGGATCAAATTGAGATATATATTTGCTGGCGATCTCGTGGTATCGAAAGGATACCGAGATCGTGCCAGGATACAAGCTTGATTACAGAACGTAACCGAATTCGCGCGAAGTTACAATCAAAGTGTGTGAATAAGAATGGAAGCACAATATAGCTGTCATTAGCACAGTCAAACAAAAGCACATTAAAACAAACACTGGTACAGTAGGTTATAATAATAATTGTTTTTATTAAACCAGTCGTGTTCTCGTGATAAATGTGAGTCACTACAGAACCAAAAGTACTAAAGATACAATGGAAAACAAGGTACTCAAAAGTACCGACGACAAACTAATTTAGAAACAGAAAAGATACTCTAATCGAATACTGTGACTGAAATAAATTCAATTAAGGTGAAAATAGTAGTCTTGGTACGCAATAAATGACCAAAACAATAGAAAATAATACGAAAAATACCACTGTCCTTTTGATAAGCGCGCGCATAAAATCAAACACTTCGTAGCTTACTTGAAAAGGACTAGAGCAGGTCGTAGGTTTTCTGCCTAAATGCACAGATTTGGGTATCAACCTAGGCCCTCAGTCTTCTGCCCTTATTAAACTTTTCCAAAGGACCAAGTTTATAAAAACGTTCTGCGTACCAGCGATAACCTGAGGTCTGCACTAAAATACGAGTAACAAAAACATGAAACATATTAAACTTATGAATATGTTGAGAGTTGGATTTTCTCAGCTTTCTATTCATTACTTTGCTTTTAATGAGTGATTGACGTTTTGTGTGTCACATTTAAAGTTGCTAGTACAATGGCCGCTGAGACGAGTTCTCGATCCGTAAAGCAACCTGATTCAACTTGGGAATACTGTGGTGTGAATTTAACCATTCACAACATTATTATACCCGAGGAGCGTTTATTTCCTACCCCGTCGCAGCTGGACAAAATGGAATATGAAACGGAGATTGACTTAAGGATTCTTGGGTGCGAGTTAATCCAAGATTCTGGGGTTTTGTTACGGCTGCCGCAAGTCGCTATGGCAACTGCGCAGGTATTGTACCAGCGCTTCTTCTACTCCAAGTCATTTGTCCGTCACTTCTACGAGGTAGGTGTTTTGTCTAGTAACCTGCTTCCAGCATTACGCTATGGCATGTATATTTCTGGCTGCAAAGCTTGAAGAGTCTCCAAGACGTATTAGAGACGTAATCAATGTATTTCATCATATAAGACAAGTTCGGGATAAAAAGTATTGTCGTATGCATTATTGGCTTCTATTTCAGAACACCGACACCTGTGATTCTCGATCAAAGTTACAGTAATCTTAAAAATCAAGTTATCAAGGCTGAACGACGTGTTTTAAAAGAATTAGGATTTTGTGTCCATGCCAAACATCCTCATAAGGTAATCTAACTTGACATAATCCATATTTTGTAGCTTGTTATATGTTACTTGCAGGCTTTGGACCATGAAACTAACAAAAACCTTGTTCAAGCTGCTTGGTAAGTTAGATGCGTTTGCATAAAAAAATAACCGTGGTAGTTCCGACTCTAAATCGTTTTAGTATGGCCATGTGTAGTACTGTTTGTGTTACAATTTCTCACTTATTGCTCTTTTAGCACTCACCCTGGATAAGGCGATTTACCGGTCGACTAGAGAAGTACTTAACTTCTAAACAGTTTATGGTAAATGGTAATAGAGTTGAAATATATCAGTTTCGGCATAATAATCTGAAAAATTAGGATTAAGGATTATTTGTCTGAGTAGTCGGGTGTCATAATTAGAATATAGGGTGGTGGTTTACATAAACTGAAATAAGCTACTATAAAAGGTTGAGAAGATTTGTAGCTCAGGTGGATGATTTTGGTGGAGTTTTGTTCTCTGAGCTGAATGGTTTGGTCATGGAGCTTTCATCGTTCTTCTGAACGACATCACCAGCACAAGTTTGTGCTCAGAGAACAAAACCACCAAAATACTATAAAACGTAGTTTGTAGCAATATGGATGGACTAATTCAGCGTGGGAATCCGGAATGCTTTGGTTAGTGTTTGATTAGTAAGGATTTTCTTAACAAGCTCGAATCAGCTAAGATTGTAATGCCGTTGTGTTTTTTCTTAAATGACCAGAGCTAGTAAAGTTTTGTTTGTCAACTGAGGTCTAACCGGGTACGATTCAAGCACAAACTTGATAACGTCTCAAGTCGCACAAATTATGCCAAACGTGCAATTAACAGCAAGGATTAGATGTCAGTTTTTCACATATCAAACTGAAAACACGCGGTCTCTCGCCACGTAAAGTCCCGGGTATCCCGATCCGCGTGGGTTGCCTATCTCAGTAATGCAACCAAAATATTTTAGTGGAAACATTAGTTGCTTTAGGTCCTACTATGTTACATTGATAGGGTAGTGAACGGTAAGATCGGAAACTCTAATGTAAGGTCCGAAGGAGATATCCTGCCACTGACTTGTGGTATAATCAAAGTGGAATGTTTTTTTACAAAACCAGAATTCACATCAATGCTGCCGTATAACGGTGGTAGAGAGTTCAGTCAGTCAGTCAGCTACAAAGTAGGACCAGGCACATATATGCATCGGTCCAAGTTGCCATACCTCATTAACACAACAAGGTGAACACCGGATTCATAAAAGTAGTTAATCCAGTCGTGGTAATATATAAAAGAAAGATTGCAATAAGGATATAGTACAGGAAGAAAGAATTAGTTCGTAGAAAGAAAGATATGAAGCGATTTTAATCTCTTAGTTTAAGGGAAGACAGAGAGTGTATACACCGACGCCATTGTGATCGATTCTGAGCCTCTAACCATTGGTCACGCGGACCCCAACCAAGTAGTCTGCATCTACCAACATGACTCAGACTAGAAGTTAATGACCTCAGGCACCACTTCTCACGGTCGTTCCTCCGACTTTTGCTTAACTTCGATCTGATTTGTTGTCGCTCTTCATCGTGTTCAGAGCCTGATGGGATGAGTTTACGAGAATCCATCAGTGCGATAGACCTTGAGGAAACCCATTGGTTCTTTGTAACACTGTAGTTTAAATCACTGATAGTTGTCACTGCTGTTTCCACATCTGTTTGTATAGCTTGCCAAGCAACATCTGCGTCAACCTCGTTTTCAGAACTACCTAATTGTAACCACAGTTGTTCCTGGAACCTACTTTTGGTTTTCTCGCTACTAAATTCAGTTCTAATGGGTCTTTTTACTGTGGCTTTTTTGCATCCAGTGAGGCGCAAGCAGATGCGTGCCCGTATTAGGGCGTGGTCGGAGTCCAAGCATGTACCTTAGAATGAGCGACAATCTTCTACCGACCCTCTCCAACGATGACTGATGGCAATATGGTCTATTTGAGTTCATCGTTGGTTTGGTGTAGGGGGTCGCCATGTTAGACGATGTCTCTCCTTATGCTTAAAATTTGTTTGCTAAAAATAAACGATTGTTTGAGCACAGTTGCAGCAGACGACCACCATTATCTGTTCGTTGTGCCGGAATATTAAAATACCCACCTAAATGCCTTTCTGTTTGGTTTAAACTACGTATCTGGGCATTAAGGTCACCTGCTGCGAGTACTATGTCTGAACGTGGTCTTGAGTGCTGTTAGAGGTATGAGGGCGGTTATCACTTCCCGGTTGCCCACACCGTGGAAGGGTTGTTCTGGAGGTGCCTGAAAAGGAAATTGGATTAGAGGTGGTCTTAGTGACCTGAGAGCGTGACCGCAGTGCCCAAGGGACAACTGTCTAAGGTCGGTCACACACGACCTTTTTATGGGTAATTTTTGTGTCAGCTCTGTACTTGTTGAGACCCTATCGCCGGAGACGGATATCCGTGGGATAAGACGAGGTGTGCATTTTTAGGGTCGACCTTTTCTAACCTCACCCCTCCTTGTGAGAAGGCAGCATCGCTGTCATGCTGGTTGTCTGAAGGAAACACCTTACCGCTGTCACACCTCTGTACAGTCAGCAGTACGACTTCGCCTTCGGACCTTGGATTTGTTGCTTTTAGTCTTACCGCTCTTCAACCGACCTGTCTGACATGGTAGGACCTTGAGGAACAGTTGTTCCAGCCAGTATAGCTCGGTCGCTTCATCACGATAGGCAAGCACGATCACCACGTCAAGGTAGCAACAACGGTCGTGGTGGTAGAGGGTTAAAGAACATCGGCCCCGAAAGTCAGTCAGTCAGTCAGTCAGTAACAACGTAGAACTTCGTACGTACGTACATCAGTTCGAGTTGCCACACCACATTAGCACAGAGATGCAGTGGTCGATTCAAATCCCGTAGTGGTAGAGGTAGCAAGAGTATAAGCAGTAATCGGGAAGATTAGGGTTTGGAGATGTTATTTAAAGAGTATAATCCAGTGAAAGAAATTTGGAAAGAGGGAAAAAGGGACATGAAGAATTCAGAAGATTAGAGTTTTGGAGAACACAGAGAGTGGATGCACCTGCGCCATTGCGAACGATTTTGAGCCATGTCATTCAGGGTCTCTAACCATCGGTTGCTGTCATCTCGCGGTCCCCAACCAGGTAGTCTACACCTACCAACATGACTCAGTTCACTTGTCACTGACTTCATGGACTTGTGCCATGTTTTGGTTTGGCCGCCCCTAGCTTTCTTCCAACCTACTCCTATACCACTGAACATAGCACGTCGAGGCAGTCGGTCGTTGGGCATACGTAACACGTGTCCCAGCCATCTCAACTGATGAAGTTTCACTACGTCATCAATTGATTTGCCATCCTTACCTAGTACCCGTTTCCTAACAACTGTGTTACTTACTCGATGGTCCCATGATATACGAGCAATGTTTCGAAGACACCTATGATCGAATACTAGTAACCTACGGATATCCTCTACTCTTATCGGCCATGTTTCACTGCCATAAAGTAGGACGGAACGAACTGCTGCACAGTAAACACGTCCTTTGGTTGATAGACGGATATCTCGCCTACGCCATAAATGACGCAAGTTGGCAAAAGCTAGTCGAGCCTTCTGTATCCGTGCTGAGATTTCGTCACACACCAAACCACAAGGGCTGATGAGACTTCCAAGATAAGTGAAGCGGTCGACACACTCAACTACTTCACTCCCTATCACTAGTTCGGGTGTCGATGTAACCCAATCCTGAAGCAACATTTTGCATTTCGAGGGAGAGAATCGCATCCCGAACATGCTTGCATTGTTGCTTAGAATGGTCAGAAGACTCTGCATTTTGTCAGCGTCTTCACCAAATAAAACTATGTCATCTGCATATTCTAAGTCAACAAGTGAACCTCCTGGTAGAAGTTCAACCCCTGTAAATTTAGATGAGGAGAGTGTTATCTCTAAAAGTACGTCAATGACAAAGTTGAACAAGAATGGGGAGAGTGGACAGCCCTGACGAACACCACTTGAGGTGATCAATTCTGATGACAGTTCGCCATAAGCTCTCACTCTACCAGTTGTGTTCGAGTAGAGAGCCTTTATAAGGTTAATGTACTTCTTTGGTACTCCTTTCAGTGACAAACACTGCCATAGAACCTCACGATCAACGGAGTCGAATGCCGCCTTAAGGTCGAGAAATACTACCATTGTGGGGCGTCTGAATGTGTGTCTCTGTTCTAGAACCTGACGTAGTGTGAATATCTGATCTATACAACCACGTCCAGGTCGAAAACCAGCCTGGTTTTCTCTAGTCTGCTCTTCACGAGCTTTAGTTAGGCGTCGAAGTATTATTGAGGCCAATATTTTAGACACTATATTAGTCAAACTGATTCCTCTGTGATTGTCACAAGAGGACTTTTGTCCTTTCTTAAAAACTGGCACAATCAGTGATTGAGACCAGTCAGATGGGATTACGTCCAGTTCCCAAATTCTACCTAAGACCTCAGTTAATCTTGCTGCTAATACTGGACCACCATCCTTAAAAATCTCAGGAGTAAACCTGTCAGGGCCTGCTGCTCTCCCTCGTTTCAGATTTCCTATGGCTTTTTCAACTTCGTAAAGGGACGGAGGACTTACATTAACTTGCCATTCAGGTTGACTGGAGATCGTGGGAAACCGAAGTGTGGCTGAAGGCCAGTTGAACTGATCCCTAAAGTGTTCTGCCCATCGATCCAATCTCCTGGATTGAGAATGAATAATATGTCCATCTTTCTCTGAGATTGTTTCGCTAACGGTCGGGTTCCTAATTCCGGTTTCCTTAACGAGTCTAAACAATTGTCTGCTATTACCTATTGCCGCTGCCTTTTCCATCTCTCTTGCTTTCGCTACCCACCACTGTTCGCGATCATTGCGTAGACTTCTTGTCAGCTTGCGCTTAAGCTGACTCCGCTCTTCATTATGTTCAGAGCCAGGTGGAATGAGTTTTCGAGCATCTATCAGTGCGATAGATGCTGCTGAGATCCAGTGTTGCTCCCTAATTTTACGGTTTACCTTACTAGCAGATATCACTGCTGTTTCCACAGCTTTTCGGATATCGTTCCATGCTGCCTCGGGGTGGGCATCACATA